GGATGCTATAATTAGCCTTTCACTGTTACTGAAATAAGGAGGAGAGGAAAAAATCAGCCTGGATTTATCACTACACGGGCCTGACGTTTTTCATTCTCGTACCGTTAAAACCATTATCTTCAAATTTAAGATCATGAGGAATTTTGGAACTTTCTTATATTCAGTCTTAATTGGAAGCTGTTCTTAGAAAATACTACGGAAAACTGACTTCCAAAATTAAGACTGAATTTAAATTTCCAAAATGCTTCTGATCTTAAATGTGAAGACAATCTTAAAGGAGAAATTCCACCTGCTTTTAGACTTAAATGTTTCTCTTAACATTTCAGGACAAGCACAGTTTGGCCAATTCGGTCTTAATTTTGAAGCCATGTTTCCATAGGTTTTTTTAGGAACTTAAGAAAAACGTCTAAGTCTATACTCAATTAGAATTTCCTCCCCACCCATACACACACATCCTGGTCTTCAGGCTTGCATGTGGAATTTCAGGCCTTGATCTATGCTGGAAAGTGCTTAAGGGTAGACATTTAGATGAAGACAGGATCAGGCTCAAGTGGAATCCTATCCATGAAAGAACAGCCTATCGGTTGCACTTACTGCGATTGAAAACAATTTAGATGCACGGGGAGCTTTTTCTATTGACGAGATGAATTCTAATTCCAAGAGAAGCACTTTTTTAGTCCCAATCTCTAGGCACACACATGAATAATGTGGTTTGAATGAAGTACCAAAGAGTTGCAGACGCCCATGAAAGCACAAATGATGGGACGATTGGTTGGAGAAAATTGAATAGCTGGGGGAAAGGAAACAATTTACACCTGACACTGAGCTTAAAAATTTGATTTTTATCGATAACATTATGTGGTCCTATGTGAACTAACTGAAGTTGACCAGAGCTGATATATAATATTGTTTAATCTGAGTAACTTCCCACACCAGTGGATCAATCCTATAATGTTTCATTTCAGATGTAGTACACCAGGTCCTGTGCCTAAATCTAATCCAATCCTTTGCCGTCCCAAAATAGTCACTAATCTTCCAGCATCAAGCACTTTAATTGTAACTATAGCACTCCATTAGCACTAAAATCTCTTTTGATCTGAGGCTGTATCAATAAATTCCCCAGTACTTGATTTGTCCCAATGATGTAGTAAAAAGACTGCAGTGACAACTGTAACTCTCTAACTCGCACCCAGCTGGAGGACTGATGTTGAAGAATTTTAAACAGAGCCAAGCTGGTTATGTTGCACAAATAGTCTAGGTCTTAGCAATATTAAAGACCTAGTTTCAAAAAACAAATATTTTTCGGTTTTCCATAGTACTTTCTGAGAACAGCTTTCAATCTTTTAAAACTACCGATTATAAAGTTATCTTGGGTTTGATCAAAACGCAAAGTACTGCAGATGCGGGAAATCTGAAAACAAAAACAGAAGTCGCTGGGAACACTCAGAAGGTCAGGCAGCATCTATGGAGAAAGGAAAGTGAGTCAACGTCTCGGGTCCACGACCTTCGTCAGAACTCAATGACGAAGAACTCTGATCTTGTGTTTGATACTCATATCCCCACTTCTCATTGTTGGAGGCATCCGGGTAAGCATTTTCGTCTGTTTGGGGACTAGGATGCTAACATTCTCCTTGAAGATGTCAGAAACTCTATTGTTGATACTTAAGCCCAGATAGCAAACTCATTGTAACAGCCAACAGAAGCGAGGCTGAAAGATAGAAACCAGAAGCACAAGGGCAAGTTTCATTAATAATCAACATGTAGACTACTGAAGGTAATTTTACCAACAATACAAAATTGGAGCATTACCATCCAAATGATAATTGTATTGCCATTACCTTGTCAACCATAGCTCCTAGGTAAACCGTAATTGTGGTGGCCCCTGAGGGCAAATAAGGGAGCTATTACCTATTGCACTCCTGCCAGCTCCTAAATTGTTGGAAGCTCTCCACCTCCAATCCTGCATTGGCTCTTGTTGTGCCAGATCTTCCTATGACAAGAAAGCATGCACAGCCATTAATTTCACCATTATGCTGGTCCCTATTAATAAGAACACATGCACTACGTGAGAATATTTGAAACAGATGCCCAAACCAGTCCAGCATCAGGTTTTAAGCCTGTCAGAGACAAACACTTAAATAATGTAATTTACATGCGTTACATTGACCCATAAAATAATGTAAGGACCACTGTCCTATATCCGGTTATGATACGACTGACAGAATTTCAAGCCCAGAGACCTTTTTCTTTATTACTGATAACAACTGCAGATATCACTTTTTTAAGTTTCCAACACTTTAAACTCGAATTAGAGAAGACAAATGTGTGCAATACCAATACTCCTGTCGTGTCCAATTATATTCTCTGGTCTTTGCCAAATAAAGTCGTTTTACATTTGGCTTCCACACTGATGTTAATATCTTATTATATGCAGAATACATTCATGGGCACCAAACTTACAGTACTAGCTGCTCACAATTTTGCTCATTAGCAGCATTAGATTTCAAAGAAAGCAATAAGGTGCAAATGTGATGTTTCTTAATAAATTTTGATGTGTTAATTAACACTTTCAAAGTCCGAAATTTCACCTACTCTCAGCCTGCAAGTCGATTTTGCCCTAAAATTTAAGATCATACAGAATTGTGGAGAAATCTTGAATTCACCTATAATTTGGAAGCCAGTTTCTTTTTAAAATGGTGGAAAACCCGGTTACATAATTAACCCTAAATTTAAGAAATTTCCACAATTCTAACATGATCTCAAATTTTGAGACAAAATGGTTAAGGTTAAATAGAATTGTTGGCATCAAAAATCTGTTAAGAAATGTTGTTGTATTCACTCCAAAGTTTATCAAAGTTTATCATCACACCGATTTTCTTTAAAAAACTCCATCTCCCCTGAAGTCATCTGAATCTTCATCCTTCTACTGAGGGATAATGATCCTTACATTTGATATAGCGCCTTTCATTTAGGGAAGATATTTTAATGCACTTCACAGAAAATACTGTAAAGTGCAGTGACTATTGGCCAGCACATCAGCGGAAACCCTTCTCTTTTCACATTGTGCAGTGGGATCTTTAATGTCCTCCTGAACAAGCAAAAAGGACCATGATTTAACTCATCTGAAGAACTCACATCCAAATTTTTGGCTGACCAAAAAATAAATATATCTACAACCTAAGACTCAGCCATACATAAATCGTAATCATTTTAAAGTGTTCATGAAATAAAAATAAAAATAAAATGTTTGAATCTTACTTGGACAGCATCCTTCTGTGCTTTAACCTTTCTAGAATTGTATTATTTTATTATGCAATTTTATATTGCATACACAATACTCCACTGATAGTATTAAAAAAAATTCTTTGAAAGATCTTGGTTGGTAAAAAGTTAAAGGATTTTTTTCTGGGCAGAATCCGAGTCTATTCTGCCTGTGTTTATAGGACAAACCGATACGCTGTTGAGACTATTTTCACAAGGTTGACTTTTCAACTGGACTCATTATTTTCCATTCACACAGTTCAACTCCAATTTATATAGGGAAGGAAGGAAATAGTTGTTAAGTGATCTCAAAAAGTATAGTATCACCTGTGCATTGTTTGCAGGAAGAGTTTATAAAATGATGGTTAACTCCCCCTATGAGTGTACATACATGCAGGAGAAGGCAACTGGAGAGCAGCATAAATACTCAACACACAGACAGGAAAATAAACCACTGTACTGCACACTTGGTAGGCTGAATGGCCTCCTCTTATTCCTGTTTTTTTGTTTGGATCTTCTTACACAGCTGCTCCTGTGTCCCACCACTTGCAAGGCCTTGTGATACTTGGTTGTAAACACTAGCAAGGAAAACTGGAGATGTTGTGCAATGCTGACACTTGTTTTAATGGTGACAAGTACTCAGAAATACTTAGCTTAAACACAATTTGGGATCTCTGTATAATGTTCTAGTACAATGCTGTTTGTGCATCTGTGTGTTCTCAAACATCAAAGCGTTTTCAGCAGCTATCAAGTCTTACACTTTAAAGAGGATCCTGTGTATGCATTAAAGCATTTCAGTCAGTTCCCAGCTCTTGATAGGACTTTAACGAAAATGTTCCTGCCTGTTGCTGGTTAGCTTAAACGGCTTCATATTTTTGTCAATAGCTAAACGCAGCCTTAAAAAAGCTTCAAAATACTATAATACATTTATGGGAATTAAATGTCACATCCCAAATTCTATTTCTCTTTCAAATGCTGATCAAATGCTGTGCGTTATTGGCATTTTCTATTTTAATAATAATAATAATAATAATCCTTGCATTTGATTATTTGATTATTATTATTATTTGCGCCTTATCATGTGTTTGAGACATCTCAAAGCGCTTCACAGAATATCATGTAAAGTGAATTGACTATATATTTTGTGGGTGAAACGTGGCAGCCAATTGCACACACAGTGTCCCACAAACAGTCGGGGATTGAGTGACCAATTTTTTTTAAGCAATTATTACCCAGGAAAAGTGATCTACCAATCGATTAACAACCGGGTTCCTACTTACTGTTAAGGTAAACAGAGGCATGTTCCCTTAAGTTTAGGAGGTTGAGGGGTGAATTGGTTGAAGTATTTAAGATGATAAAGGGATTCAATAGGGTAATTGCAGAGAAGCTATTTCCTCTAGTGGGGGAATCCAAAACAAGGGGATCTTAAAATTAGAACCAGGCCATTTAAGAATGAAACCAGGAAGCATTTTTTTCACTCAAAGGGTGGTAGAAATCTGGAATTCTCTCCCCCAAAAAGCTGTGGATGCTGGATCCATCCACACCTTCAAGAGTGAGGTTGATAGATTTTTGGTAGGTCAGGGTATTAAGGGATATGGGGAGAAAGTGGGAAATTGGAATTGAAAGGATTAGTTGAGGTACAGATCAGCCATGATCTAATTAAATGATGGAACAGGCTTGAAGGGCTGAATAGCCTACTCCTGTTCCTAGGTTCCTATGTTCCTAACTTGCCCAATATTTCGCCCTGCTGGGAATTGAACCCAGGTCTTTCCCTTATAAGGGAAGTGCTCTAACCACTGAGCTACAGGACTCCACATCTTGTTTCAGATCGCCAGTTTTTTTCTTTACCTTTATAGTTATGGTGCTACTGTATTTGCTAAATAATTAATACAGTCTATTTCATATTTACCAACCATTCACGGTTAATCAACTTTGAATAACACTCTCTGCTAGTGCTCTGGATCATGCACAACCAATTGCTGTTGAGCCGAATTTCTCACATCCACTGAATGGTGAAAGGCCTGAAAGGGGGATGAAGGAGGAAGCTATTGTTCCTGTGCAGAGCAAATCTGAAGTGAGATTTCCTAGGAGCCCTGCTCAGCCAAGTGAGTAACGTGATTGTAGAAATAGGTCAGACTCTGATGGGTTGCAGTGATATTAAAATAACTACAACAGGGTGAAAATTATACGGTGGAGGTGATAATTATCACATTGTTCAAAATTCTGGTCAAGGACCACTCTACAGTTTAATGACTCATCCACTGTTGTGAGTACTGATCCCTCCTCCACCACTTCCAACATTGGTAGAATGGTTGGTCTTGATGCCACCTCCAGCTACTATTAGAGTTGCCTGCTGCAGTGTGTGGCACTTAAATATACTTTCCTGGGATACCAACTTAACTGAACCCCAAAAAAATCAGAATGAAGCTTGTATCCCGAGAACCAGCACCCAAATTTGCAGTCGTCAGCTCCAGTTACAGGTCAAGTGACTTCAGACCTAATCATTGTGCCAAACTCAAGGAGTTGGGTGGGGAAGGTCACCCTTGTGTTGAGTCAATAATTATCGAGAGACCTTGACTGTAATTTGCAATTATTTAATATTATTAATGGTGACAATTTTCAAATCATATTTCACAATTTTCACCCCAACATGATGCTTTGTTATAAGGAAAAGTATGTTTCATTTTCAAGAAGTATTGCCAGAGGGAATTGAAATATCATGAGATGTGTCTTTTTTTATATAAGGCAGCTCAGTGTGTTGGAATTGTGAGAAACCAGGCAGCTCAGTATGACTCTTTGGAGAAATTGCTGGCTCATGACTTGCTGGTACTGGCGCAGCATACGGAATCAGGCAGGGTGTCAAGTTAACAGACAGGGTACTGACAGAAACTGCAATACAAGCAAGAGAAAGTGTAAATCAGAAGAAAGGAAGGAAAGACAAACATAGACAGTTTTGAAAGATTTGGTTGTGTGTTTTGCAAAAGAAGCATTTGAAAACAAATTGCAAAGCTGATTATACCCTATTTACAAATTGTGAAAATATCTTGATATTGCAACCTGATGACTATGTTATTCATGCACCTATTACCAAGAGCAGCACCTTAGGTTGTCTGGAATTGATCTACAAAAGCTGCTACTCCATATGTTTCTAGGCATCCAATCATGCAGTCATGGGATGATGCCAGAGCTGGGATTCATTGCTATTCTCTCTTTTGCTCTGCTTTCCAGTGAGTGAAACCGTGGGAATATTATTAAATACTATTAGAAGGCATCCACTGAGTAAATGAAAGAAGTATGTTAAAAGGCTAGGACTTTTAATAGTTATAAATCTGGGAGGGGTTTTGTTCCTGTGCCTATCATTCACTTGGCAGCCACCCATAGACATGTGCATGATACTAGGAACTCACTGTGTGGGGATTATGGGTACTGATCATTCCATTATTCCATTATTCTGTACTGCAATGTTTTGGAACATTTCTGAGAATGGCCCTCAAGCAATACACTATCTGAACCTGTTGTCCACAGCACAAAATTAGTGAGCAGCATTGAGCAAAACGACATTGTGTTTAAAAAAAAGGATTGGCTGAGAACTGGCTATAGAACGCATCAATATCCACTGACATAGATTCAACTCAAAGTAGTGAGTTGGGGGTGGGGGGATGACTTGAAAGCCTCTCAGAAAATAAATTTGGCAAAATATCTCCCAGAAGTCTAAGGATAATAAAGCGACACTCCAGAATGTTTTCCCACATTACAATCAATACTACCGAACTCGAGCCATAGCATTCCACAGCTGACATGTTCATGGTTCTAGCAGTGCAGGAACCATCATGCTCCCTGTATAATTTGATCATCTGCCTCCATACTTAAACAGCAGCTGCTTCTGCTGGGACTGTGTTTTATATATTCCACCACTGTGGGGGAGGAATTCTAGCAATCAAACAATTAAAAGGAATTGTTGCTAATTTTTGTGCTGGTTCAGTAGCAAACAAATAATCCATGGGCAGATCTCAGTCCAAACTGGGAAGAGTTGCATCCAGTCGACTGTTACAACAACAACTTTATATATTGAAGGTTAGGTTGGAAATAGGACGTTAGTGTGAGAGATTAGAGGGATCGAGGGTGGACCTGGCATGCTAGGAGCCTTTTGTCTAGCTAGTTAGGGAGGTCAACAAGACTCCCAGACTTAGCAACCACACAAGATGAAGAGTTTTGTAAGATCGAAGCACAGATTTATCAATGAATCCAGTAACCTAAATTTTATTAGAGAATTTGCATTTGGGGTGTCCTGTACTCTCTCAATCTCCCAGGTCATTCCTCCATAAGTGTCTTCTTGTGTTAACATACTCCTCCTATCCATGTAATTTGCTGCCCAAAAAGATAGATAGGTTTAAAATCTTTACAGACAGTTAGATGGGGCAATTCCAGCCATAACTATGTGCAGGACACTTACTCCCTATCACACAGCACAATTATCGTTTTCAGTAAAGACTAAACTAAAACATGAAGTCTGACCGTGAAGTCGTAAAGCCTGATAATTTTTATTGGAAAGCATATGAAATATTCATGTGAATAAAAAAAGGTAATAATATGTAGCTGGAACTTTCTAGTACAGCTCAAAAAGTCTTGCTCATATTTCTTTTTTCATGAAAAAAACATGTCAACTTCAGCAGTTTGAGACATTGTGATACATTCACACAAGATGTGACTGGAGCAGAAAGACAGTTGGAGGAGGATGGTCAGTGCTCCCATTATTATTAAAGACATATCACGGGTTTCATAAATATAAATTCCAGTTTCTTGGTAAGGCAGAATTACAGGTTGGAGGGACATTTGTCCAGTCCAGCAACATAGTCAATGTGTAGCGTATTGCAAGTCCATTGTAGTCTACATGGAGAAAGAATATTCTGCAAATGGGTAACTCTAGGAACTTTTATCTTCATGTATGTCTTTTCAAATCATTAGTAAGGTTACTGTTGTTGTATTCTATTGTAGCTGCCGCTGGGCTGGGAGAAAGGCAGATCTGGCCTCCACTGCTCCTCTGTATTGACATTTGTGTTATTAAGGTTTTGACCTTTTTTTTACACCAAGAAAATGCTTGTCAGAATTTCTTACATTGTCAAAAAAGTTACATGCTGCTGGGCCTGGCAGAGGGGAGGGGGGTAATCTCCAAACTCACTTAAGACTTGTTAATTTTGTACATATATCCTGTGGTTCTTTGGACACAGATTGCTTGAATTAACCTGCTTATATTGACAATGTCCATCCCTCTTACTGTTTTACAGACCTGGATTATATCCTCTTTCAATTTTGTTTTCCAACGATTGTAAATTGACCCAAGTTCAATAGTTATTCTCAGTTTGACCCTCCTCCCTTTGTATCAATAGAAACTCAGCCAACTGTTGAACAAAATGATTTGGAGATAAAATGATGGGACGTGAAGCTGGCAATGAATGCTTGGAAAATGAAATAAGGTTGAGCAGATGAAGCTTTGTAAGGATGAAAATTAATTCATATAAATTAAGATTATTAAATGCATAGGGAATATCTGACCTAATGGAGTGGGAGTAGAGTGGGAGTGCAGCCTAATGGTAGGTGTTGGAGGTGTGATGTGAAAAATGCAGAGAATGTAGATATCCTCCAGGGATCACCAGTCATTGTGAGAGGTTATTTTTTCCCCTCAGTAAATTTGTGAGCATAATTGGTATGTAGCAGAGGGATTGCCTTCAGATAGTAAAGTGAGGAACAATGCCAAGTAAAAGTAAGAGCAATCAAAAAAATCCAGTTATTGATATTGACTGTGCTATTTAATGAAGAAAATTTGGCATTACAACTTTGAAAGAGCATCCAGCATGCATTCATGTCTGCTGGACACCAGCCACATGGAGTGGGTTGCATTTGGGTCTCAAAAGAAGATAAACGCATATAAAAACCACAGAAAGTTGTAATGAATGTCATTAAAAAGGGCAACCTGATAAGTCGGAGGATGGAATGACCGGGTGGGAAACCAGGTGGTGCAATTTGCCTGCTGAAAATTCCAGCTGGTAGCAAATTAAATTATATTGGGGCTCAAAGAATTATTTCTACGTTTTGATCTACTGAGCTGATAACAATTAAAATTAAGGTCACAGCAAGCTGTAATGAGAGGGAGACTTTTAAAGCAAATTGTTGGGGGTGAGGTAAAGGTGCATTACGATGGCTGGGAACTCTTTTACGAGGATGTACAATCATTGTGATTGAAATAGAGAGGGAAAGAGGAGTTTGTTATGATTTCCACTGATACTAGTTCATATTATTTCATGCCAATTGGCTTGAATTGGTGCATATTGTCGTGAACTGGTTTGAAGGATTCGTATTGATTTATTTTGAGATTAATTATTGCAAATTTACTTTATCGGTGATAAAACAAACAAATGGCATTGTTTTCTTTATGGCCAATAAAGAGTCATGCTACTGTCAACGCTTTAATATTGTCAAAGTGTTAATATGATTTATTATCTACTATTTTAAAAAAGTTTAACAGCACTCGTATTCCCAGTTCTGTCTTTTTAATGTTGTTTTCTACTTAGTTAAAATCTGCATCAACAAGTACATTCCTGCACTTGTCTTTCCTTGAGAGAATAATTGATCTGTAGCTGGCTGTCTGTACATTTCATCTGACATTTCTACAGTTGTGCTTTTGAGGTCTGAGCTTCCGCTTCCATCTAGTTCAAGATGATATTGTCTTCAATTATATGATTGCGCAGAATAGGAAAAAAAAATCTTATATTCAGTCTTAATTTAGAAGTCAATTTTCTGCATTTCATAAAAA